AGTGCATATATGCAACACCTGATGTGTAGCGTGATCTTTGCTTCAGAGGATGAAGAGAAATAAAAATATTTTTCACAGGAGTTGGTGTAAACTCACAGTAGTTAATTAAAAGATGACGTGGAGTTGCTTTGGTTTGTTTTTAAAAGGAGCAGATTCCCACCCCCAGGAGGATTTATGAAGCTTTATGAGAGTCTGCAGTTGACCATTTTTACAGTTTTTAGTGTTGCTGGTTGCAAACACCATTAAAGTCCTTCTGTGCACCGCAAACACACAAAATGTTACCAAGTCTTTTTGGTCTAGTTTATTTATGAAAGAATTAGAGAAAAATAAGTGTACAAGCAAATTTTCAGCAAGATATCAGATGTCAATAATTTCTTAAGTTTGATGAAACAGTACTAGTTGTGAGGAAGTAGCCTTATAGTGTAAAAGCTGAATAGTCACTTGTGAGTTAGTTTTGTCTCATTTCAAGTTCAATAATATATTTGGACTAAAAATGTGAAAAAATACATGGTAATATTTTGTGTTTTTGCACTGTGAACACTATATGTGGAATCCACACGGCTGGCACGGAAATAAAATAAAATACAACTTGATAAATGTTATTATATTCACAGCCAGACATACAATAACTAACAAAAATATTGGGATATTTAAAGTGAGATTTTTTTATTTTTTAGACTCAATCTGGAATAATTAAAACCAAAGAAAGCATTTCATTATGCAAGGAAAAAGGAAACGATTAAAGGATTAAAGGGAAACAACGGCTTGTCGAATGTTTCAACATCATCAAAACTTAAAAGGAAAGAAGCATGATGGGAAAAGGCCAAGTTGTGTTTTGTGACCCATGAGGTTCAGGAAAGCTCTTTTTTTCTCCTCTCACCAAATACTGTGCCAGGTAATTATGTTCTAAGTTGCTTTATTACTGCCAGCTCAGCTGCAGCAGTATAAGAGCTTTTCAACACCTCGTATTTATCCACTGCAGTGAAATTGCTAAAGATAAAACCAACCAGCTCCAGAATGATGCTGCAAAACACATTCCAGAATTTTTTTACTTCAAGTCAGGATGTCCAAGAAATGTATCTTAAACTTTCTGTAGAAATAAGCTGCTGCAGTGACAGCTCTGAAATGTTTTGTATCCCTGGACTGCTGCTTCTGTGTAAATGAAAGTTACTGACCAGATTGAGAATAAAAAAGAACCTAATAAGATATAAACTATCAGTTTTTTTATTTTATTTTGTATTCTATTTTATTTTTTAGTAAACAGTATTCAGAATTGGTGCAGTATAAACATTAATGTAGTTTTATTTTTAACTGCTGCTGCTTTTTGGCTGCACTGTGCGGAGAGTTTGTTCCTGCAAAATTGACACAATCAAAGAATAAACACAATACGGCTAGCGGTAGCATATGGGAACAGTGCTCTCTTGTGGTCAATGGGAGTAAGTGCAACATAAAAACAATAGAATAGAAATATCCTTTATTTGCCACCAAACAAAGGGAAACATTCTGCGCAAAGGCAGCAAAGTGACGCCAACACAAAGATAGAAAATATATAAAAACAATGAAGAATAAGCATAGACATATAGTTCAGACGTAGTAATTAATAAAAATCCAAACTTTCTTGTCTATTCCAAAACAATTTCTGTTGTAATAATCAGCTGTGACCAAATTTTATTTATTTGATTTAAAGTTGAAGAGTCTTCTTCTACCATAACGTTGTAAAATTAGCTTCTTTGGATAAGAAGCAACTTCTTGTTCTTCTCCTTCAAAACATACATATTGAGTCTTTTTTTCTCGTTATTCTCAGATTAAATGTAACATTTACAGAGTCTAAGAGGGAGATGTTGAGGGTTTGCACTTCGGTTCAGAAAAGCAAATAGACAGAATGTGTTTATTAAAGAGATTATATTAACAGTTAAGTTAATTAATGCAATCAATGTTTTTAATTTCCCTCTTAGATGTTTTTATGCATCTCCTGTCCCAGTCAAATCCTAAGATTAGGTGACCATATTTTTTAATGAATTTCAAAAACTACATAATGCATCATAAATAATTTCATTATTCATTAAAAAACAAGCCAAACTGCAGATAATGCATGAAACAAAGAGTATAAATTATAGATTCAACAACTTCATGTTGCAATATTGTGATTTTAAGCTATTTTAGTTTTTATAATTGTAAAATTTTGCTAATTTTTACAAAACTGCTTTTGTGTGCAGGTTTGAATGCACCAAAACCTTCTGATGGCCACATTTCTATAATTTGCATTTCTGCACACTGTTGATGACAAGCTAGAAACATTCAGATGAAATATAAATAAATAGTTAATCAATTATAATTACTACATCAGTTATTTTCATAACCTTCGGAGGATTAAATAACTTGAATATAATGCAGTAAAATCTATAGTTAAACTGTTTGTGTAAATCCATGAAAGGTGTCTAAACATCAGTTCATTTGGTTAAAGTTCAATTTTTCATGGTCAGATTAAACTTTGACGTTTCAACACTAACATTTTACACATTGCACTTACTTGAAATAAATCTGCCGTGAAAAAGCCCCCAAAGCTTATCAGACATGCTTCAAATGATTTGACTTAATATTTATATGTAGTGTTCATATATCCTTTGGTGCTATTACCAAATGTTTAGATTGTAATACCTTGTAAATTATAGTGCTGCTGCTAGAGTCCTGACTAGATCTCTGCAGTTTCATTGGTTGATTGGTTCGTTATCAAGTGCAATTTTAGATTCTGATTTTCACTTGGAGAGCAATGACTCCAAATATATGTAAAAAAAAAAAGTCACTTCAGTTAGTCTGTTAAATGTGGTAAGACTATAAATAATACTTTTGATATGGAATAAGTGAAACAAAACACTTACACTGCAGTTAAATAATAGAACTTTGCATCAAAGCTATAAATGCACTTCTTGATGATTTCTGAAAACTACCAGAGATCAAACTACACAAAATAAATCTAATATCGTTGCTGCAACACTTTATTTGAAGGGGTTAGCATAACACTGTCATAAACATGAAGGACTCTTAATGAATATTTATGGCTGTTTGGATGAAATTATTAAAAAATGACACTTTAATGCAGGTCTTAATGCAACTTTGCTTTAAAAGTGTTGTCATGTACAGAATAATGCAAAGTTGACCTTTTTAATTAATAAAAAAATTAAATATCTACCAAATGACACTTCAAGACAACAGTCATAAACATTCATAAAGGCACCTTCGTGTTCATGTTAGTCTCACTTTAAACAAAATATTACCTGTTACTTTTCTGAAATACTTTGTTAGATTTGTATTTGGTCATAAATCTTTGAAAAAATGCTGACAATATCTCAACAAATTCAGGCTGAGTTTACTTTTGTGCCATCAAATCCAGATCTCCACATTTAAATGCAGCGCTCTCATGTTTTCATGTCCTCAGAACATAAAAGAAGGAAATAACTGCTTTACCTCAACAGAGTGTTAAATTAATACATTACTACATTAAATTATGCTTTGTTTACGACCAATTTGAAGTGATAAAACTTCAAATTAGCTTCAAATGACACTGATTTGTTGCATGTTTTTATTGTAAAAACCAGATAAATGTGGATTATCTAATTAAAAATGACAGTTCCTTACTAAACTGCTTCATGAATTAGTGACATCAGATGAAATTTCCTGTCGTGTGACAAAAGCAAAACTCTTGAATCTCCAGTTCCTGTATTTGCTTACACAACAGAAACCACTCCTCTGATACTCTGGAGTCCTTCAAGTCTCGACTGTGTCATTCCCCAGTTTCGCTTGGTTTCCCACAATTCTCTGACTCTTCTTCTTCTCCTTAACACAAGCTAAGTTTTTACTGTGACCTCAGGGAAACACTTAGTTTCTCTCATCCGTCCGAAGCCGCAGCAGGGAGGCCAGACAGACCTTATGGTCAAAGTCACGTCAATGTCAGAGGTTGAGTCTGCCAAACGCCACAGTCCAACCCGACAGGTGAGGCCTCGTTCCAGCCTCCAGGTTGGCTAAACTACAGACAAAATGTTTGTTACACTGAGCTCTTGGGTACTTTTCAAGGTTGATTCAAAAAATATGATTTGTATCAAACTTGCCTTTGATAGGATGCCAGATTTCTACTGAGGAATTGTTGGAGAACCCAACCAATCTCCCATCTTTAGCAAAACTGTCCAGCGTTTTATCAAGACTTTAATCTTTAAAACTTTAAAGTGTTAAATTAAAGATTAGATGTCTATTTATATACAATAAAGTCCCATGATTATTCAGATGAGAAATTAATGTATAAGAAGTTAATATATATATATATATATATATATATATGTGCACAGCTCTGGGAAAAATTAAGAGACCTCTTAAAATGATCAATTTATCTGATTTTACTCTTTTATATGTTTATGTTTGACAACATTTTTCTGAAATTCCAAGCAAAAATATAATATTTATTTGCAGAAAATTAGAGATGGTCAATACAACAAAAACGGAGAAGTGCTTTCAGACCTCAAATAATGTAAAAAAAAAAAAAAAAAAAAAAATTCATATTCATTTAGAAACAACAATACTAATGTTTTAACTCAGGAAAAGATCAGAAATCAATATTTGGTGGAAAAACAAGAAAGTTTTCAATGGGGTTCAGTGCAGTGGGCTCTTTGTTTTTTTCCAGATCTCAATATATATAAATACATATAATTTTTCTTGTAACAACTGAAGGTAACATAGTATCTTGATGATGCTATAAAAATAAATAACACTTGCTCTTTACAGTTTGAAAGCCTCATCTTCAATATTACAAACAAATCTTTGTCCACTCATCTTCACCTGATATTCTCTTTTATGGGCCATAGTTTTATCATAAATTCACCTTTTAATTCCGACAACAAAGTTTAATTTAATTCAAAATGTATAACATAATAAATGAATGTCCCATTTATGAGATTACAGCTCTTCTATTTTTACTGTTCCTCATCGGCTAGTGATGTCTGTGGCTTTAAGACCTCCCCCTTCATCTCGGCGGCACTAATCACCCCCCATACCGAAACGCGCATCATCGCTGCTGATGTGGAATTTCCCCCTTCTTTATGCCGTTTAAAAGCCCGGCACTGAAGCCCCCGCACCGAGGCACCGTTCATCTCAACGATGTAGCGTCCTGCGCAGGCGAGAGGACCAAACGCGAGGGCAGGAGTTGCATGTGTTGTCAATGGGAAACCTGGTGGGCAGCTGGCGTTTCAAGGAGCCGAGCACCGTTGAGGAATGCGACTCGACGTGGGGATCGGACTCGGAGAGCGATGAGCCGACGGCTGAGGACGACAGCGGCATTTCCGACTCCGTCAGCCCGGCGGAGAGCGAGCGGGCCGCGGGACACAGCGGGGACGCTGCCCTGCAGGTAGACGGAGGAAGGGAGGGTGATGCAGGCGGTACCGTGAGTCCCGCACTGTGTTCCGACAAGGCCAAGCTGAGGGCAAACTAAATTATTCATGGAGCAAGAGTCGGTTGATGATTCAGATAATTCAGCGCGTATATTTCTATTCATTTCAGTCTGATTTAGTGAACCATGCGTTGACAGTAAATGTCTGGATTTTCTTTAAATTTGTATCACAAAACAATGCAAGCATGGGGTGACTGTGGAGAGCAACAATATAGTGTTAACAGGAAGAAAGAACCGCACTGCATGGGAAAGAAAAGCAAAGTTAATGCCAACAATTATGCTGAATAACAGTTTTAATTTGCAATGTTTATGACACTACATTTTAAATAACATTCGTTCAAATTTTGAGGAACTCAGAAATTGCTCTTGAGATCCTTGCTACTTTTATTCTTAGTTGCTGCAAAGCTAAAACTTGTAGTTAAGACTTGGAAAATTGTATTGCAGTAAGTAGTTTTCCTGATGTAAAAGACAAAAATGCATAGGCTTTTTTTCCGGTTTAATAATGTTTACCAACAGCATAAGCATCATTTTCATTGAGAACTTTACATTTTTAAAGTCAGATGGTTTCTGACTGAACATCCAGTTGCTATGAGTTTATTTATTAAGAAAATAATAATTTTACATCGACTCTGAAAAGTTGTAAACATTTCCAAATCAAACAAAATTCCAGTCAAAACCTAAAAAAGTATAAAAGACTCAGTTCATCTTTCTTCTGGTACCAATTTTTGTTCAGAAAACCACCGCTCCAGTCCGCAGATATCCTATCTATCAGAGAAAGTTTTTTTTTTTAAAGACACTTCTTGATGATTTGCAGAGTATAAACAGGTTTTAGCTAAGTAAATCCCTTCAAGTAGTTAAATATGGCCATAATCCACATGCAGGATCTTTTTGTGGGGCCTGCAGCGCGGCACTGATGTGAGTTGGCCTCCTTTGCTGTTGAGAAACGGATGAATGATGACAGCACTTGACCTCAAAAGAGAGCAAATGCTTTTAAATCATTTGAACAGCATATAAGAGCTCCCCTCCATCTGCTCTAATGAGGAATGACTTATTTATTTTATTCTGGACCTGCATTTTTTGAACTTTTCTCTTTCAACTGTCTTTTTTTCATTTGGTCTTTATTTTATTCATGGTCTTCCTTTCCGTCTTCCTCTTTCAGCTGACTGACTCCCCAGAGTCCGCTCCGAAGATGAAGAGGAGTTTTTACGCCGCCAGGGATCTCTACAAATATCGTCACAGCTACCCGGTACATTCATACACCCATGCATGTTTCCAAAAAACATGGATGATATATTTTCCTTTCTTCTTCCTACACACATACGCATGTAGACATCCAGTTTTTATGTGTTCGGTGCAGAACTTTAGAAAGTCCCGGCAGCCCACCGAATATCGAAATCTGCGCTTCTACATGAACAAGATCCCCCTGGTGCCCGATGGTAAGAAGCTATGAATTTATTAAGTTTTGTTTTGGTTTAAAGGTTAAAAAGCCCGGCGGGTCAGCAGATCGACTCTGGGTTACAGCAGAAAAGTGAGCGATGAAGAAACGCGTGCAACAGCTGCTCATCCTCTTCCTCTTTTCAGGTATTTACATCGAGGAGATTCTTTCAAAGTGGAGAGGCGACTACGACAAACTGGAGCACAATCACACCTACATTCAGTGGTGAGTGGAGATCTGTTAAACAAAAAATGTGCATTTCTGATGGTGTTGAAGATCATGGAATTAAAATAAATTTGTGTTTAAGTTGAAAACTGTTTACTTGTGTGCAGTTTTAAGAAATCTGCAGCCAGTAAAGGTTGGTCACTTTTCTATTTTAAAACTGGGCAGCAAACAGAGAGTGAGTGAGTTGCTTGGGCAATTTAAAGCTTAAATTGTCCAAGTTTAACCTTTAAACTTAGACAGATAAGTTTAGAGCTAGTATTTGTCCTCTTAAAAGTATTAGTTTGTAACGGCTGTTCAGTCCTGAGTGAAAAACCAAGTAAATTTTACCACAAAATAAAACGTGGCAAAGTTCTCAAAAAAGATTTTGCTGCTTCATAGTACCCACTAACATTTAACAGGGTAATTAAAATAACTTTTCTTGTAACTAAGCTAACTTGATCACTAAAGTCTGCGTCAGATTAGGGTTCAAATTTTGGTGGTTTAATATGTCAGAAGTGAATCTTAGAGTTTATTTTAAAAGACGAGCTTGCAGTTGCCTCCTTCATAAAGGATGACTGAGCAAATCTTGTTACTTCCACAATGAACAGCACCAAAAAGTGCTGAGAAGCAGAGCTCCAACTAATTATCAGGCTTATTCCCTAAGTAATCATCTTCCCATCCACTTCCTGTAACCTGGATTTTTCCTCTGGTGTCCCAGGCTGTTCCCATTAAGAGAACAAGGGCTCAACTTCTACGCACACGAACTGACTCAGGAGGAGATCAAAGTAAGTAGCTCCACCCGATTTTGTTGTTTCGACGAGCTGCTGTGAAACGAAACGCAGCGCTCGTCTGACCCGCTGTCTTTAAACCCATCAGGAATTCCAAAGCACTCGGGAAGCAAAGCGGAGGTTCCTGGCGGCCTATTCCATAATGCTGGATTTTTACGGCGTCAAACTGCTAGATAAAAGCGGCAACGTCGCTCGGGCCCCCAACTGGCAGGAACGCTTCCAGCACCTTAATGAGTAAGCCCACACTCCCACAAAGCTCGCTGTGCAGCAGGCGCTGGGTGATGGATTGCTGAATTTGTGCAGGGAAGCCCGTTGTTAGCTCGCTGTTTGCTGCGTTTTCCGTGTTTAAGGAAGGTAATGGCTCTGAGTCGGATGCGTCTTGATCGCTCCCCCGTCAGGAGCCAAATGTGAAGCAGTATGTTTTTAATTCAAGAGACAGACGGCTTAAAGTTTTAAGGAGAATTTTTTTGAGATTCAGTTTGTTTCATGGAGTGTAAAATGTCATCATGTTTACTTCCAGAAACAAACACCTGCATGTAAAACACAGTTATCTGTTGTTTCTGATAACTGATAAATATGCAAAAGTTTCTGCATGTGGTGGACTGGTCTTTCAGACTAGTATTGGTATTGGTTTTATATGAATATTTATTGTTGTGTAATATAAAAGAGGAGGATGGTGCAGTCTGTTTTTTGCGTGAACAAACTTATTTATGTGTGATTTTTAATTGCGTTTCTTATTTAATAGGCATAAGGTAATTGTGAAATTGTGTTTTTTTGACATTGGTGGAGTTTTGTGCAAAATGTAATGGAAAAGCAGCTACTGATCTTTCAGGCAATATTGTAGAATAGTGAGAAAATTCCTCAGCAAATCAGAGATTGTTAGTTTCTCAGCCCAGCAGAAGGAAAGAAAATTATTCATTTGCATGTTTTCCTCGCCTCAACCAAACTCATTCTCCTCCTGTTTTGTATTTTCAGATCCCACCACAACTACCTGAGGATCACCCGCATCCTGAAGTCCCTCGGTGAGCTCGGCTACGAGGCGTTCAAGGCCCCGCTGGTTCGCCTCTTCCTGGAGGAGTCGCTGTGCAGCGGCATGCTTCCCAACATGCAGCACAGCGTGCTGGAGTACTTCGTCTACACCATCCGCCTGCCGGCCACGCGGCGGCGCCTGCTTCGATTTGCTCGCAAGCACTACAGGCCCGCCCACGCCTTCCTCTGGGGGCCTCCGTCTAAGAAGGGAGCCTGCAGCGGCGGCGGTGGCGGCGGTGGGAGCAGCGGGATCAGAGCTCCTGCTCCCACACCGGAGCACCACAGGAGGGGGGAGGAGAACACAGCAAGTAGCCGGATCAACGTGTCTTCCCATGCTGCCATAATGTGCCAGGACCTGGTCGGAGGAGGGATGAAGGGCTTCCCGGACCTCGGTTCTTATGAGGCCGGGTTGCCGGGGGAGCTGATGCTCGTTAGCGGGAGAAGAGAGAGGAGTGAGTTCAGCTAGGATTCTTCCTTCTGAGAGGAAACTGCAAAAACTCAAAACATTACCTGGTTTCTACTGAAAATATCGGGGGTGCAACAATTGCAGTTTTCTGGCCATTCGCCGATTTCAGATCTTTTAAAAAGCCTACCCTGCCGATTCCTATTTTGGCTGATTTGTTTTTCTGAAATGTTGCTAAATATAGCAAGAGGGAAAGTCACAAAGTTAGTAACAGTGACTGTTGTAAACGGTCTGTCTGTCTAAGATGTTTTGACCTTTGCCAAGGAAGATGAGCTTGTCGGATAAGATCAGCTGCACATGAGAAAATCGGCCGATCAACGATCTCCCAAAAATAAGGAAATCAAAACCAATAAATCGGCTGGCTGATAATTCGGTGCACCCCTAGAAAATATCTTAGTAAACGTGAAATAAGACAAAACTCAACATTTTCCAGCAGGATAAATGAGCTTGTTTTAAGTAAATGATATTGATTTAAAGAAAACTACCTGGCAGATTTTTCACTTATTAAATGGGAAAATTGTTTTGTTATAAGTTAAATAATCTCCCAGTAAAAAAAAAAGGAACATTAACATATTATTGACTTAAATCAAGCTCCTACATCTTGCTGTAAAGCTACTTTTAAGTTTTTCTGTCTTATTTCAATTGTACTAAGATATTTCCATTAGAAACTAGATCAAAATACTAGATGATTTTTTTTGTGTTTTTGCAGATACTCAAACCCAGGAAGACATCAATGAAACATTGTAATTAATAAACATGGGATTAAAATCAATTCAGGTTAAGGGCTTAGAAATTAATTGCAAAACTGATTACACATATTTAGGATTCTAATGTATTTTTTTATTTAGCTTCTAATTACTTTTCAAAATCATTCAAACCAGTAGAGACAATATATTACTTTTGTCTAAAGGTCTGTACTTTTAATAAAAGAAGCAAAGGGGGAGATGTTTGCCTTACATACTGATTTACTCTGAAGCTAATGTGGGAAGGCAAATATTGTTAAATAGACAAATGAACACAGTTTTGTTTGTGCGTCTACATCTTGGGGGGGGGAAGACGAGCAATACTTTGAAAACGTTTTTTAGATTGACCTAAGAGCATCATTTCTGTTGATATCAGATAAAACTGTATCTACTCTGTGATTTTTACTGTTTCAGCTGAAAAGGAAAGAGAAAAACGAACCTTTGAGTTGCGATAAAAAAGAAAAAAATTAAAGAACTGAAAGGCTTTTGGTGGCATACAGACTGTAGTCACACGTCTGAAATGTAATTCTGTCTTTGTCAGGTTCTAAATTAAATCTAACCTCAAGCGTATGAACACATTTAATGAAAATATTTCAGACATAAAACAGTTTATAAATAATTTGCATCTCTACTTTATTGTCCTCCCTGGTCCAGATGTGTAAAACCCTCTTGTATAAATATTTTTTTTAATTGCAGAAGCATAATATCACACTTAAATATGTAGAAGAATCTAACGTATGTGCGTACCTTCAGGGATCTTTTTGCTTTTTAACAATGTTTTTTTTTAGATTTTCACAGATAAAGGTTAATTATGCGTCTGCTGAACTATTTTCTCTGTTGCTTTTTCCAAATGTTTTGGAAAATTTTCAAGTCTTCTGGCAGCTCCCATCAGGATTTTCTTGAAGATGTTCTGGTGCGTCATCACTGCATACACGGTAGCTTTCCAAGGCTTTTTAAATAAAAACCAGGCCCACAGCATTACGGGTCCTCCACCGTAATTGACAATGAGTGTGAGGGGATTTTCCAGACGTCTGCCCCCTCTTTCACGAAGTGTTTGTTGCAGGAAAAACTCCACCTTCATCTCGTCTGACTAAAATCAAACAATTTCCAGTTGAAGTCCCCCAGTAGCAAATAGCAAAAGTTTGCATTTGTGATGGTAGGAGAGAAAAGTTGTCTCTAATTTTTTAATAAGCTTTTGATGAAAAACACAAGAAAACATGTTTCTAGGAAAATTCAATGAGGCGCCAAGTTGAATTTTTGCGCTCCTGCAATAAAAATGAGATGATTTAAACATTTTTTACACATCTCCATCAATGGTGAGGTTTAGTGTGCAGGATTTATTTATTCATTTGTGACTGAAAACAGATTTCTTTATCAGCCGCCACCGCCACAGGATGTATTGTCGTCCATAAGCCTTTTGTTCTTGAATCAAAAACAAAAATGCAGTAAACATGGATTCTAACTGAAGTTATTGTGGCTGAAACTTGTATGTTTGATGTTTTTGACAATCTGTCTTCCTGAGGCGATACACTGTAGGTTTCTCTGAGCTGCTGCGCATCATAAACACAACACCTGATCATCTTGTGTCGCCATAATTTACCTTAATGTGAAAACGTGAACTCCAACCTCATGCGTAGGTTTTTGAACATGTTTTTAAGTCTGTGAATTTGACTTTAAACAACTCTTTAGGGCTAAGTTTGATGCTCTTTTTGCTCAAATAAATACAAATTTTCATTTAATAATTTTGCACAAATATTGTAATAATTTAAGGACATAGGGTCATAGCGGGAAATGGTGAAGTTTTTCTCTTGGAGGCAGGTTTCGTGTAATTAGTTGTAATTAATTAAAAATTCTCTGCTTGCAATAGATAGAAATCTGTGAAATTAAAAGCCATGCAAGGGTTAAGCAGTTCTTCCTGACTTAATCAGAGTTTCTTCTTGCTGACAAGGTTTCAACATCACTCTTCAGCCAAGTGCATCTGATATAATTGTAAAAGTACCTTTTCAGGTAGATTGTATGATAACATGGACTCAAGTATGTTGACTTTTTGTGAAATGAATATGTAAACATACAGTATTGTGTGTGTGTGTGCAGGTATCTCTAATATTCTTAAGTGCCTCTTTTGTATGTTTTATTTATACCTATAAGCTGAGCGTAGTGTCTACACCGACTTCTTGTACATTGTGATTTTTTTGTACAGCATTTTGATATTTAAGTTATTGTTTGCTTTGTAATCATATATTCTATGGGTAATAATGTACAGCAGGAATAAACCTATTAGGAAGAATCACTATAGAGGACAAGTTATTCCAAATATTTGTATCTGGCTTCTGCAATAAAACGTGATTGTTCTACAGAATATTTTCTCCACTTTGTGATTTTGCTCCTTTGGTGAAGAAATCAAGTTTTCTGTTTAAAAAATAATAATTTTTTTTTACTTTTTTACAGAAAGTGTAAGAAAATGTCCTAATTTAAAGATTTTTGTGCTAGTTTAGGAAATCCTAAAGTCAAACAAATACTAGAATCATTTTTTTCTTTTTCACAAATCAAATTAAGCCTTCATAAATTTGTGCATAAATTGCATATTTTTAGATTTTTAACTCCTTATGATCTAATGCCGCACAAAAAACATAAAAAAAAAATCTAAAATAGCAGCTAACTATAGCATGCAAGGTGCAGCTTCTTTTGCTAACTGGTTTACAGAAAATGGAGTTTCGCTGTTTCTTTCCAGTCGCTTTCTCAATATCCTGCCGCATAAAAGTAAAAGCTGTGGGTTGTCTGCAGTGAGAATTTCACCAGATGAAAATCAACATTTCTAGAAATTCATTCAGCTATGTTATTAGTTATCAAACAAATCTGAAGATATATCCTTAAGATTAAGAAATGCCTTTAAAAAACCCAGATTACATTCACTGAAGCATTAAATTAGAGATCCAACAATCTGATATTGAAAAATATTCTAGATTGGGTATCGGTGACGATGTTACTGATCAGTAAGGACAGATATATTCAGTCTAATTCTATGCTTTATTATTTATTTTACAATAGATTTAGAATCCCTAATTATACTTTCTGAACTATTTAAAAGGTTAATCGCAGTTTATTTTATTCACTTTTTGTTTATTATTATTTTTACATAGACTATTTTACTTCTAGTTGTGCCAACAGAACAAAATTAAAGTTGGATTGTTTTTACCGTACACATTTAACCAAACTTGTGAAGCTATTGGTGTATTTAAGTGTGCTGTACAGGTGCAGAATTATGAAATAAATTTGTAATTCTGTACATTTATGTCTGTTTTTAAAATTCAATTCAATCTAGAACTGTTTTTCTGTATCGGATCAGTATGGGATACTGATATATTTATATCAAAAGTGTGAAAATAGGTGCATTTTGACATAAACCCACAAGCTTTTAAGGCTACAATTCCTCAATGCATATTTCTCAGACAAACACAAATCAAATGTATTCATATGAATAAAATTATTTGAAATAATTGACACATTTCACTGATGCTAGAATTTTCGCCTGTGGGTGACTCAAACAACAACCTCAGGAGCTTCTTGGGAGACGCTAGGAAAGAAATCCAGTGCGGTTTTCCAGGACAGAGAACACATCTGCTGCAGCTGATCTGCCAGCCGAATAATTGGATTACAGCCTTCAGAGAAAAGAGCTGAAGACAGAGACGCACCTTCTGAAAACAAACTGAACTGTGCCTTGCAAAAGCAACCAGGAGACGGTTCATGAGGTAAAATTTAAACAGATGTTGCTTGAGCATAAAGACGCCTGAAAACAGCAAAGTATTGGTCAAGTCTTGCAAAAAACAATATAGTAAAAATGTAAGAACAGTTGGCAAAAATAGTCACTTTAAGCAGATTAACAAAAACTACTAAAATATGTTTCTCTTTTGCCTGGGTTTTCTACCACTGTGTACATTTGTTGGTTTTTTAAATATCACAATATTCTTAAAAAAAAAAAAAAAGTCCCGCTAGCACCCTAATGAACTAACTGTCAACCTCATAGCTTAAAATTGTGATAATAAACGGTAAATTAGCTGATTGTGTTTGCCTGTGGACAATAAAATAAATCTAAATGATCACCATAGTAATATTTTTACAGCTTTAATAGTTGAATAATTCAGTCAGATATTTATGTCTGTACCAAGTGATAATTAATATTAATACTAGGCTACAATTAAAACAACACCAATTAATATTTAACTAAAATGGATTGCCTTAAATTGTCCTCCTTCCACCAATGGATGGTTAAAAAACATGAAACTTGTCATTTAAAACTTACAAAGAGCTGCTAAGACTAAAACGAGATCAATAAATAAGCCAATAAATAGTTAAAATCTGAACTATGTCTCCTTTAAGGAGGCAGATAAAGCTTAAAATAAATAAGTGTGTGTATGCAAAAGTATTTAGTGTTGCTTTAGAATAATTAGGAAAAGTTGTTGCATTTCTGGCTTTAAATAGAAAATAAATTTTGCCATATGCTGTGTTGTGATTTTCTCCTGTTTACCATTTTCTCTGTACAGTGTGGGGTTTATATGCGTCTGTCTGCAGATTGGCACCTTTTCTGCAGTGTTGGCCAACAACAGATGGCGTCTCCATGTGGTTCCTGTCTCTTGTCTTCCAGTTCCTCATGCAGGGTTGTGCAGAGAACGTTGTTATGCTTTCAAAGTGACATTTAAAAAATGTTTTTCTTTCATTTCTTTTATAGAAATGATGACACAGAAATGGCCACCAGGTTGTTCAACACACTCCTGCTTCAGTTTATTTCATCAGTTATTTATTTTTTTTTTACAGAGAACAGATCATTTTTGCTCATGATTGGCTTGAAAGATTAAATCCGAAAGCTGATCTCATCCTAACCCATTTTTTGAGTAATTTTTGTTTTACAACCCAACACAGAGGCAAAGGTGATTTTGCTCCCTTTCTACTGAGAGTCCTATAATTTCAGATGTTTTTAAACTCAAAACTGATTTCAATTTTTGTATTTCAAGAGCATTTCACTGTAGAAACAACTGCGTCATCATCATGTAAAGACATTTCTGCTGCAACTCGTAACTGTCCCAGCAAATGGGGCCAAAGTCCTGCACTATGGATTTAAAGTAAGTCACAGGCTGGGGATTTAACTTTTTTTTTTTTAGGTTATTCATGCTGCAAAACAGTGCATGTTTTGTTGTCTTATCGTATCTTTAAGTAATTTAACTCCTTTAGATATCACATGTGAGGCCGATGTCTGGGTAGAACAAGGGTTGGATGAAGAACCGGAGGATAATTAAACGTAGTAACAGTTACAGTCCACCATTTTAAAGTTTGCTCTTAATTTGGTTTTCTGAAAGGTTCATTTATGTATTGGTAGCTGCTGCTGATTTTTAAATGCTTCAGTAATCTAGTGTCAGGATGACTCTGGAGTGAATTTTGATACACACACTGTATGTGTTGTTGTTCTACTGCTTACAGTTTCTTTCTCCAGTGTCATGCTGGGCAACTTCTGTCTCTGCACGGAGTTTCGCCTCGGTCTCAATGGGAGGCAACAGCTGGGCTTAGTATCGGTTTCGGGGGATTTCCCAGTAAAGTCTTGTTTGCGGCCAAAACTCAGGCTGAAATAAAATTTAACTTCTGCTTTTTGTGGTTTCCAGAACCAGAACCTGTTATTATTATTTTTTTTTACATGCAACTGACTTGCATCTGACCTGAATGCAACTGAATGCAACTTATGTTATTGTCAGAAAATATATGCATATATTTATACAAGATATGTAATATTACAATGGAAGTTTGCAAAATGTTTTTATTAAGTTTGAGATGATCGCCTTAGAGTATTGGACTTTTTTAAAATCTTAATTTCTAAATTTTAAATTTAACAGATCCCATGATGCTAAACAGTCTAAACACTTGTATAGTAAAATTAACAGATTGATTTTTAGACAATATTTCACCATATCTGCTTCCCAACTATTGACTTTGTATGTTTAATTGTTTGTTTTTTGGTTGACAAAATTCTGCTTCAAATGTTTTAATCTTAAACAGTTTTTCGTAGCATTGAAATTAATTATTTGAAATATTAAGATATTTTTTGTGTCCTCTCAATCGCCTTTTGTTTAGCAGTTAGACGGAATATATGACAAATTGTTTGGTTTCTTTAAAAATATTTTTATAATTTTGATTTCATTCAAGACTGAAGCAAAAGAATGTTTCATAAACCAAATAAAATATATATTTTTTTACAGTTCTGGGTGGTAAAACTGGGATCTGGTCCCTTTCTTCTGCTGTTCTTGTGCTATAAAGCAATAATCTTAGTAAATAGTAAATTAAGAAGTGACACTTTGGCTCCATCTAGTGGCGCTTTCCTTTCAATTCATGAACAATGGGTTTACAGTAAGTCACAGGCTTGGGATTTTTTTTAAGGTTATTTATGCTTCAAAACAATGCATGTTTAATTTTCTTACTGCATCTTTAACTAATTTACTTTATTTAAACCAGAACTATTTCTTAACTTTTACTTAATTGTAGATGAATAGGTTATCCGATCATGCAGAAGATATAAAACTGCATAAAGCAACTTCTCAATCCTAGAAGAGTAGAATCAGCAAAACTATAGATTTTTAAAGTGGGAACATAATACAGACTAGATTTTTAATATGTTCCGATGGATGAAACCTTGAAAAGAAAGGAAAGCGTAGTTTTTTTTGTGGTTTTTTTGCCAGAGCGCAGATTAGTGTGTTTGTGGGGTCAAGCACCAGTGGGGCAAGCATGACGGAGGATAGAGCCACTCCTCATTTCCTTCCCGGATGACCAACTGTCTCCAGCAGTCCCGTTCAGGATGTCAGAGGAAGAGCACAATTTCTCAGCTTCAAAATAGATCTTTATTTAGTCCGAGTTAAATATAACAGCTGCTGCCTCCTTCCACAGAAAACGCTTCATAGATTTCGAAACAAAATGATCCAAAAAGCAACTGTTGTCAATATTTTTTTATTTCCAGAATGAACACAAAGTACATCATATTCATTTGTTCAGACAAATTATGTTATTATGAGCTTGGGAAGGAGAAAAACAAACACAAATGCTGCAGTTTGTTTTTGTGGGACGCGCTCCTGAGCCAAGCAGTGCAAACAGTCCCACTCCCGGCCACCAGGGGGCGCACGCCGAGAGTGTAGGGTGTTTACAGTCCCTGGATCTCAGATCGACATTAGATGAAACCCTGAACTATGATGTGAAGCCTTAATTTTAGTCACCTCCTTTCTAAATATCAGCATATAAACTCAGATTAGTCAAATACTTATGCTTGGAATATTTTACCGGTTTTAATCTCTTAATTTTATACGTTTTATACTCATGACTTGAACA